TCATCTTCTTCTTCATCTGATTTTAATTAAATTAGGAGTGTCAATTTGGCCTGATCCAATATGAATCCATTACAGATGGACCAGGCCCAATCCAATCCAATGAATTTTTTGGGCTATTTTGGATCAGTCCAATTCAATGTCTGAACCATATATCCAATCTGTTCAAATTTGGCTTTAATTTAGATTGGTTCAAACCTAAACCTAGTGCACTTGACATCTATATTTTTGATCTTTTATAAATGGACTGGATGCTGGTTCTATCTAACCCAATACAATATAAATCCATTGCAGATGAATAATGTCCAATCCAATCCAATAAATACTTTGAACCATTAAGCCTGGACTGGTCTAATCCAATGTGTCTTATTGGCCCATCCAATCTATCTAGACTGATTTTGATTTGGACAGGTCCAGCTCAAAACTGATCCATTAATTAACAACCCTAAATTAAATTAAACCACCTCTAGCTAATTTCATGTTGTTGATTTGATTTGAATGCAAACCCGGGTTGGTTGGCTCTAACTTCAAGCTAAGCCACTACAGTTAGTTAGCCTTTGGATTGCAATGATCAAACCATGATGCCTTAGAAATTTGAAGTTGGTGTGGAGAAATTCAATTTGTGTTAAAGACAATGTACAAGCATCTATTCCTTAGCGTCGGGATTCTACCAATTCAAATTCATGCATTCTGTTGGTTCTTTTGCTTTCACAATTAATTAGGGTAGCATACCAGAGAAGTCCATTAGTATCCAAATTCTATTAATTTATGTCAAGCGCCATTCTCGTGCACTCAAACTAATTAATTGTTCTAATTGATCACGCCTTCCTATTGTTTAATTCATTATTTACACCAACAATTCAAATCAAACGTGCCATTTGCAACTGCAACCAAATTCCATCCATCCATCCATCATAATCCAAACCTCTCCTGGACTCCTGCTATTGTGAATTTGGTACACTACTGTTAAACTATACAAGAATTTGCATAAAAACAGGTTTTTATAACTAATAGTCCTCCAAACAGCATAAAATTTCATTCAACCAACTTCCTCTCTCTCTCTCTCTCTCATCCCCGGCAATTGGCATCAAGTGAAACTGGTTGCTTGTAAAACTCTACCAAGTGTAATTGATTTCTAGCATAATTTCCAAATGTTTCAGCAGCCGCAGATTGTATTTGTAGCTTTCATAGAATTTTCACTTTCTTTTGACTCTTCATCTTTACAACTGGAAATTAATGAAACGGGTGATCTGGTTCTGATTCCTATGGGCTTTAAGACAGATTCCAGTTATTACCAAACGAGTGAAGAAGAGCATTGGCATCCATGGAATTAATTAAAGGTCTCTGATGCTCTCTATTTTTATTCCTTGCAGCTAGCCTGCAGCCAACGGTAGGAGATTGGATTTTGGCACATGAGAAGAATGCGGTACGTAAATAACACGTGAGGCCAAGCCATCCATTTTTAAAAGCTCTGTATTAGCAGTAGCAGTCACCAAAAAAAGAAAGATTCGTTTGGGGTCACGTCCGTCCATCTCTCTCTCTCTACATATATATACAAACTACAAAGAATGGGGGATACTCTCTTAACTCTCTGCAGTCTGAACCATTGATAGGTCTACGATATCTGGGAGAATCTTTTTCGTTTGCTAGAGAGTGAGAGAGAGTCCAACACGTTGGTAAGTCATCGACTTGTCAACTCTTTACAACTCAACACGTGGCCTTTCCAAAGACGTTCACCATGCAATTAGATAGACCCTCAACTTATCACACAACAAATGTCAGGTCACCATTAGCCAACATTAATTGTCTCATCTCTCATTCTCATTAGTCGTTAAATCGTGCATGAAACAACACAAACTAAACACACCCATTAACAAATTTCAAACTAACGGCATGCCCAACCCAATTGCCCATGTATTTTGGAAATTACAAAACAAAACCAAAAAAAAAAAAAGAAAAAAATCATCATGCAACACGTCAGCTCTGGATCCACATTTCAAGCTGACTTGGCTCATCATCATTAGTCCATTACATTTGCTCCGGATAATTCAGAAAATCGGAATATATTTGGCTTCTTAAATTTGGTTGTATTTGGTATCAGTTTTTGTTTCTTCATGACACGTCTAAAGTTGATCAAGAGAAATTGGTCTTAAAATATGAGTTGTCATGTCATGTCATGTCATATAATCAGAAACGTTTTGGATTAATCGATACAAATTGTTAAACATCAACTTTCATGTTTCAACTCTAAACATCAATTATCAGAGCCCACGCACCTATTTTTTTCAGTTGAAGTGATAACACGATAATTCATCATTCTTGCCAATTTCTACCGATCAACCCCAAAATTTTTCGTGGCAATGGTACCAAACACAATCTTAGTGCGCAAATGTCCTTAAAGCTTTAAACTAACAGACGCCTAATTGCAAATTGCCAACTGGCAAGTTTTGGTTGTAGCAGAGACTTGGGTTATCTAAAAAAATGCATTATTATGAAAAAATACAAACTACTAACAAGCAAATGTCAAGTATTTTTTATGACTAATAAAACTCCAAAAATGGCAATATCAGTCTGGAGTCGAGTGACTACTCTGAAAACCCAGAGTTGGAGAGCGATGGTTGCATGCATGTAGCAGAGTGGAGAAGTTGCTAACCTGCAACGTGATTCCACCTTTATTATTTTAGGCCCCGTTTGGCATATTTTTCCGTGTGGTCTTTCGGTTGCTTACAAGTTGGAAAGACCGAAAATCGGTTTATTTCCGTTTGGCATGCGAAAGATCTCGTGGCCAAAAAATGGAGTGCCAAAAAAGACATAAAAAGCCTATTTTGGACTGATTTTGAGAAGCTCCAAAGCTCCAAATGAAGCTTTTCGTATCTTCCGCATTTTAATATCACAATGAAAGACCCGAAACAACGCACAGAAAGATGCACGTCGACTAAACGGTCTTCGGGCTATCCAGATCTTATGTCAAAAGTTCAATACATTTATTGACTGTCAAAACTACAAGAAGATCTTCTCAAAAGGACTTGCCAAACGAATCCTTAATTTTTCATTTCTTTTTTCACTTGAACTGGAATTTGTAGACCGTTCATCACCCCATCATGGGATTGGGACTCTGAAAAGGCCAAAGAAGTAATACAGAATATTGTTAGTCACCATCGATCATTGGACGGTGTCGGGAGGAGTGGACAGATAAAAAGATAATTTGAGCAAATATAAAAGCGGGTGCTCTCACTCTCAGTCTCTCAGGTTCAAAGCTGTCCTTTTGGTATGATTGTAAGCCCAAGGTTTTAGCTGTTTAGCATGAGACCAAGCAACGGCCCTTATCCAGGTAACCAATTAAACCCGTCAGATAAGTTGTTGGGTGCTCTCCTCTCTTAGTAATATTAGTAATACCTTCATCCCCATGGGCCATAACCCAACGCTGAATTGGATTTCTAACTTTCTTCTGATGGAGTGAAATTGACCATTACTTAATTAATTAATTAATGTATATGTAAAAGTAATTGAAAAGGTGCCGCTGCCGATGCCGATATAGATGATGGCAATGGCATTGTTTTTTGGGCTTGAATTTAATAATAAAATCATAGAGAAATATCATAATCTCTCCAACATCATGGAATGCTACCAAATTTATTATTAAATGCATAATGACATTAGCCTTCATTTATCTCCGAATTGAACAATGGTCCCCCCCACCAACCACGCAAACATTCTTACCCTTTTGCTTTAATTGATGAGGAGAAAAATTTAGTTCCCTATCCCTGATTCTGGGTTCTAATTAGAGAGAGAGAGAGAGAGAACGAAACATGGGCTTCCAGGTTTGCTTCCCATGTTTAAGTTGAGTTGGGTTCTCTCCGTTGATAGATAAAATAAACCTGGAAACTTGATATGTATGTGAAAGTGATGTTGTATGGATATGTCCAGGATGTTCTACTCTACTGATGTAAAGGGTCACTTCAATCAACATTTCTTCATATATTGATTTTCCATTTTGGTCGCTGCATCTTGATACTTCATGTAAACCCTCTTTCCACTACACAACCCCACCCATCGAATAAATTTTGTTTGCTAGGCACACCCTTTACAAGTAGAGATAGAGAGGTTCAGCTTCCCAAACTAAATAGCGTCTCCATTTTCCTGCACAGCCTACATCTCTTTGCTTTTTTCTCTGTCCTATTGTTTTTTTTCTCTACCTGACTTGATCGATGTTGCTAATTATTCAACTATACACCACCCTCCAATCACAACTTTTCTATGTGTACAAGTGCTACGTGGAAAGACAAACTTTGTGTTTGTTTAAACAGGAATTTTTCTCCTAAATGATACAATCGTTAGCTAGGCTACCCAACCAATTAATTTAATTGATTTAATTAATTAAAGCAGCATCATCAATTGTAAGTCGTAACTTGTATCAATTACTTAATTTGCAGTGGGTCGCTTATATGGAGACAAATTACTTCACCATGTCTGGGCTGGGCCTTCTTCCTACAGCCCCAAACCCAATACATCGCCCCTTCCATCCATAAGGTGACTCGTTTGCTGAGCCAAGTCCCTGAATTTTGATGAACACGGCTATTCCTTGATAGATAGATAGATAAATATTGACGTTGAAAAAGTTTCCTACGTGAGTCGTCACCAAACCTCGCTACGATGATACGGCAGTTGCAAACCGTACATCATGGCTGCTTGTTCCTTTTCATGAGTTGCCTATGTTATTATGTAACTATGTATATTATTCAATACTCCCATGATCTAACTCAGCCTTGTGCCCCCATCTCGATGATTTTCTCCCTTTAAATATTAGCCGTTCGAAATACTGTATTTTAATATACGGCGAAATCTTCACCGTATATGAGTGGGCCAGTAGGAATGAAAAATAAAATAAAATCAGAAATGCCGAGTGGCAGACAGAGGATGTCGATCGGATCAGGCCGTCAATAAGACATTTTTAAAGTAGGCCTCAGTAACGTCATTATTTATTAATCTAAAAAGCAAAAACTAAACAATAACCAAATCCCTCTCCCTCCAATTTTACCTCTTTCTTGTTCGTTTCTTTTACAAATCCCCCAACCTTACTGGGAAATCACCGCGATACACAGGATCGTCAAACAGAGAGAGAGAGAGAGAGAGAGAGAGAGAGAGGCATAGTGAGTTCAATTCTGCTTCGCCACAAACCAGAGAAGGAATCCAAATCCTCCGCCAACGGCAACGATGATAGCGTTCCTCGAGCGATTCGTTCATGAAAATGAAACTGAAACAAGACCAGGCGACGACGACGATGCAAGCCTATTAAGAGGCCTCGAGTTACAAGGCACAATAGATTTCGTCCGCACCGCTGCTGCTGCCAAGGATTTCGGCGGTATCATTGAAGCAAAGCCGCTAGCAGTCATCAGGCCAGCCTCCCGAGAAGACGTAGTAAGAGTAATCAGAGCGGCTTCCAGGTCCGCCCATCTCACGGTCGCTGCAAGGGGTAACGGCCACTCCATCAATGGACAGGCTATGACGGACAGAGGGCTGGTGATCGACATGGGGTCCATGGAAACTCAGATTGAGGTGGTGAGGTTTGGCGACTCGGCTTACGTCGACGTCGGAGGGGGAGTGCTGTGGGAAGATGTGCTCAAACGGTGCGTACGGGGCTTCGGTCTGGCGCCCAGGTCTTGGACCGACTACCTTGGCCTGACGGTCGGTGGTACGCTATCCAACGCCGGGATAAGTGGTCAAGCCTTTCGCTACGGACCACAGACATCGAATGTAACGGAACTAGAGGTCGTAACGGGTAAAGGAGATATCTTAGTTTGCTCTGAGACGCAGAACGCGGAACTATTCTTCGGGGTTCTTGGCGGTCTCGGTCAGTTCGGAATCATTACCAGAGCCAGAGTTCCGTTACAAACCGCTCCAGACAGGGTGAGTATCATGACGATACGTAACGTAGTCCCTGGTGTATTTTGAGTATTGCATGTAAATTTGATGTTTGTGTTGTTTGGTGGCGACCAACGGATTTCCGTGATGGTTTTAGGTGAGATGGATAAGATTAGTGTATGTGGAGTTCAAGGAATTCGCGGGTGACGCCGAGTTCCTGATAACTCGGCCGGAAGGAGAAGGTGAGTCGTTCGACTACGTGGAGGGATTCGCTTTCGTTAACAGCGACGACCGGGTGAACGGTTGGCCGTCGGTGCCGCTACGGTCAGACCAACGGTTCGATCCTAGTTTGATCCCTGGAACCGCCGGACCCGTGCTCTACTGTCTGGAGCTTGCCTTGCATCATCACAACATGAACAACAACAACGACAAAGACGACGATCCCTCCACCGTGGATGAGGTATAGTTCCGGTTCCCCTCCTTATTAAAACTAAAATGCGGCTCCGCTCACTTGGCAACCATTAATTGGCTAGTGGAACCGGGGGCGGGGTTCCATGATTTGCAACTATTTACAATGTCACCCTTCATCCTTCCTTCATAATAATATTATTTTCTCCCGTCCATGTTGTATAAGTAAAAGGCCTTTACCTAAAAACGTTGTCGTCTAGAGCAGCACTTGTAATTTTTTATTTTTTATTTTTTTTGTTTAAAGAGAGAGAAAAGAGGAAATGCTTTGAGTGGTCACTCTCCTTCACTCACACAAACACAAGCACACATTGAATTGTTTTGGCATTTGGGTTCATTCATAGTTTGTGAGTTGTGAGTGGCTCCGTATACCTTAATAATTTAATTTTACCATGGTGTCAAAACAGCTCAACAGCTGATGGGATGATTTTAACCTTCTACTTGTACCATTCCTTATTCTCTGTTCCTCGTCATTGAGTCATGACGCTAGCATCCATTCCCCATTCCTTCAATCCTTCTTCCCTTATTTGGTTAGAATCGATGGATTGTTATGTTATGATATGGGGTCCATCGTTTCGTTGCTTGCATGTCTGGAAACTGACTATACGTACGCCCTGTACATCTTCCGTTGGATTTTCCGATCTACTCTACTGCGCAAATGCCCCTACGTCTCTCCACAATTTACCATCAACACCCCACCCATTTTCCGATCATCGGTTTCTCTCTTCCTCGGATTTGCTTTCCCATTATATATATATATATATATATATATATATATATAATTTGCGTTAGCGTGGTGGCTCCTTAATTCCCTCCCCGCAGCGCAAATGCGCAATAATCGCCAATCGGGCAGTCCGCCTCCGCCCGGCGCCCTTGGAAGTTTCGCAACTTCTCTTCTTAAATTAATTCTCAACTCTCGAGTGTCCATTCTCGTAATTTGAGAAAGTGATATTAGGGGCAAGGCAGTAAATCCCGATTGGCTTTCGTACCCCAAAGCTGAATTGCTGATTGGGATTGAGAATTGGCTGACGCGGCGGGCCCCTCGTTTCCGCAATTGTCCAAACTCCCCCATCATTTTCCTGGATGGGCGAATCCCCATCCCCCCACCCCGGCCCAATCATGAAAATACACGTAGGACCCTTCTAACATCACCACCATTTTACATTGTGCAGGTGATGGGGCACAATCTTGGACGGCTGAGATTTTGTAGGGATCTCAAGTTCGAGCTGGATACTAGTTACATGGAGTTCCTACTGCGTGTGAAGCGGGTGGAGCAAGAGGCAAAAGCCAACGGCATCTGGGACGCACCTCACCCTTGGTTGAACCTCCTCGTCTCCAGCCGGGACATCCTGGATTTCGATCGCCTCGTCTTTAAGAACATCCTCAACCATGGGATTGGTGGGCCCATGTTAGTCTACCCTCTACTCAGAAGCAAGTAATCAATCTACCCCATTCACAACCCAATTTTCATTTATTTGTTCATTTATCTTGATTGAATCGGATTGGTAGGATTGGGGAAAGGATGGGACCAATTATCTATCCCCATTGCCCTCAACGGCTAGGATTTGGCAATGGATTATGGAGCATGCAGCATGGGATCCAGGTAGTGTAGTACTCTACTAAAACGGTAGGGCCGTAAGGGGCGCTGGTCTACTAAAAGGGTTTAACTATGCCTTTTTCTTTCGGTGGGTGTGGCGTGTGGGTCCCGACCATTTTTTTTGTTTTTCTTGTCTGGGCACTGGGCAGCTAGCTGCGGTGGCGTGGTCCTGCCTCCCTTTGCTACTACTAGCTTCACATTCACTGCGTCATCCTGATCCATCCATCCGACGGTGTGGAGCTGGAACCTGGACCACTTCATCAGCCACCCAATTAGATGCTTCCTTACTTCACATTTTATTTCTTCTTTTGGTAGTAACGGGGAATGACGGATGATGAGGCCGGGCCCCCACCCCCCAGTGGTGTGACAAACGTACTATTGTCCACCATCAGGATCAGGATATCTCTTTTTGTCCATCTATTTTATTATATTATATTCTTATTTGGGATTTTGGATTGAGGGAAGAGGGAGAAAGGTAATTTTCATGATTCTTGAATCTTGACTCTCAAGTCTCAACCTGTTAGATCTGATCGGACGGTCACCTTAGGATCTATTCCTGTTGAAACCCATAGTTTTTTTTTTTTTTATTTAAGCCACCACCATCTCATAGTCGTAGTCATGGACGGTGGAGAGTGGTAAGAGTGGATCTTAGTCAGCTACTGCTAAGTACCAACTCAATCAACCGTCCGGCTGACGTGCGAATGACATGAACCACCTGGGCAGGAAGAGGAGAAATTAGATCTTTCTTCCGGATTCCAATCCGTCGGTAGTCTGGATTTCTAACCTAAGAGAAGGTCGAGTGACACGGCGATGGCGTGCGATGCCCATGCCCGTCGCAGTCAAAGGGAGTATGTTTTAGGAATTAGGATTAGGCTAAAAAAAAAAAAAGGTGGGGGTGTAAAAGAGTAGCGTATAAGCAAACACGACGCGCCCGATTTTTAATATATATTTATTGGTAAGTAGAAGACGCGCCCGATTGAGACAAAGATGCGGTGGGCCCACCCGAATCGCGTTGCATAGGTTAATAGGGTGGTCCCCACTATTTTTGAGGTTTCTTATTATTCTTGGACTTTTCGAATTCGTTATATTTATTATCTAATAAATATCAAAATATATGTGGGTTTTTGTTTCGTGGGGAAATGGAGTAGGAGGAGGCTCATAGCCGTAGCCGTTGATTTGAATGTTGTTGAATTAAAAGAGACTCAGGTGATTGAGTTTTGGATGATTGTAGGGGTATTCTTGGAATTATATGACATGCGGTCTACTAAATTGGAAAATTGTTGATTTCAGGTGGGATGGCCGGACGTCGGTGGTATTACCGGAAGCTAAAATATTCTATTTGATCGCATTGCTGCGGTTCGGTCCTCCGTGTCCAAAGGGTCCGGCCGTGGAAGAATTGATATCCCAGAACAAGGAGATCATCCAGTGCTGTATAGATCACGGGTTCGATTTTAAGCTCTACCTCCCCCACTACCGATCAGAGGAGCAATGGAAGTTGCACTTTGGAGATCAATGGTCCAGATTCGTCGAGAGGAAGGACCGTTTTGATCCGTTGGCCATCCTGGCGCCGGGACAGAAGATCTTTTCCAGGACCCACCACCCGTCGCTCTAATTAATTTTTAATTCAACTTATCTATTTATAAGAAAAAGGAAAAAAAGCAGTCCATATCTTGTCGTCGTCTTCATTTATTGTTGTTGTTGTCGTTAGTTGTAAGAAGGTAACGGTGATATGACGATGAAATCATTTGTTGTTCTCAGTCAGTTATTTATTATGAATGCAAGAATATGACGTTGATGAGGGTGACTTAATTTGATCGTCTAATCGGATCAATCTGAGCCGTATGTTGCTTCTTTTCTTCTGCCTATTACTCAAAGTGTTCATTAATGTTCAATAACTGTCGATGGGCCAATAATAATCCAATCTATAGAAGAGAGTTGACTTTAGAAATGAGAGTTGACTTAATGTTGATTGGTTGATTGAGTTTTAGGGGAAAGAGCCCACCAATGAAAAGTGAGTTGAGTTGTGGTCAACAAAAGTTGGAATCAAAACTTGAAGAAGAAGAAGAAGTAGGAAAAGAAATGAATAAAGAAGAGACAGAAGGGAAAGGAGGGGAATCGGATTCTGTTGGACGCAGGGGCAACATCTAAATCAAATCTAAGTTAGATTGGGTGTGTTGTTTCATGTAGTTGTTGTCGTCGTCGTCGTCGTCGTCGTCGACTTAAAAAAAAAAAGCATAAAGAGGAAAGAAAGCAGAAGTTGCAGAAAAAAAGAAAGAAAAAAAAAAAGGGAGAGAGAGGGAGTGCAGAAAGCAAAAGAAGGAAGTTCAACGACAAGAATAAATATAAGAGAGGATGAATGATGATATGTTTGTTGTAAGAAACAAGAAAGGAACAATAAAAGATGTTGCCATGCAAACACGTCCTTTATGGTTGGATTGATTAGATAATAGATACGTTCATGCACTCACTCACGCAAAACTCTGCGGCTGCATATCGGATTCTGACCAGACTTTCGTCTCTACCGATGCAGATCACCGGATCAGATCAGATTTCACACGCACCTCGAATCCGAATCACATCTTTCTCTCGCTTTCTCTCCCTTTTTCTTTTTGAAAACTGGAACAGTGCAACGAAAACTTTTTGGGGAATGTGAGTACTACACTGTTACTAATACTACTACGAGGACTGGACTGACTTCAATTCAATCTATGAAAGATTTGAGTCCGTCGTTAAGCAAGCAAGTGGATGGTTAGATAGTACAAAGACCAGGAATCTTACACGTGGACCCGCCTAGGAGACCATTTCCCTTTTTCTGCCAACGACGACTGGAAGTGGACTCCATTGGTGTTTGGTGCGCCCTTTGTTCCTTCTTTTTATTTCAAAAGAAAGAAAAATCCAACACACAGAACATCAAACACAGAACTGGAAAACAACATAGATCAGAGGAGATAAGAGAGAGAGAGAGAGAGAGAGAGATCTTTCCCTCTTCTCTTCTCTTCTCTTCTCGGGGTGAGTGGATCAGTGGTGCAAGCCTGCAAGGGAGTGGCCAATATACTAAAATTCCATTTCGTGAGATTTTAATTTTGAAAGAAAGAGAATTCCTGATTCTCTTTTTATATATGTATTATAGGGTCCCCCCCCCCCATTGAAAAGGGAATTGGAGCTGTAATTTCCATTTTCCAATGCCACTTGGAAGAGTGGGTTTGAGAGAGAGAGAGAGAGAGAGAGAGAGAAGAAAAGGTAGAAGATTGATGGTGGGGCAGTGGGGATAGAGACGATTCTAGGTATACAACATTGTTTTTGCTGTGAGTTTGTGACTTGTGACTTGTGAGAGAGTGTTTTTTTCCAAGTTCGAACGAACAAACAACACATGATTTCAACATTAATTTGACACCAACATACTAAAGCAACTCAGCCTACCTTTTCCCCATTTTCTTCTTTCTGGATGACATAATAAATTTGAAAATCTAAGCCTGTTGTCATTACCTTTCCTCTTTAATAGAAATCCTCCTTATCCACCCTAAAACAAATAAACAAACAAAGCTATTGACATTGGACGGAGCCCCACCTATACAAGCATTAGGTTTTGCCCCCAGATATCAAAAGTTGAAAAAAAAAAAGCCAAGTAGCCAAACCCCGAAAAAGAAAGCACTTTGTTTCTCACGTTTTCAAATCCTGGTCCTAAACCAGACGTCTCTCCTTCTCGATATTAGCCCTTAATTTAATTAGATGTGGATTTCTTGTCTCTTTTACTCTCTACCAAGTTCCGCCTCCCCTGCTCATTTAAATTCCCTAAAAGCTAAACTATTCCTATTCCCCATTTTGATTTAGATATGACGAGAATTTTCTCCCAATGACTGATACGTCTACATTAATTTTAAATATTATTTTGATGATTAAACAAAAGGAACACTCCTACTAACTTTATCAAAAGCTTAAACTACTCTCGAGCCTCGACCAAGTCCAACATGCAACAGCCTGCAATTCAACGTCCTTGCCCGCCCAATCCACCCATTTTCAATTCCTTATTGTTTATTTGGTTCCTTCCTGGCCCCAACTTCATATCATTGAATTATGGCTTATGGGCATGGGAGAAGAAGAAGAAGATGAAGATGAAGACCCACCAAATCTGTCTCATTCTTAATGCCACTCGTAACGCCAGTGCTCAATTACTACATTGCTGCTGTTGACTGTTATTGTGTTGAGGCGGCAAATCACTACTTAGTTTTTGTATTTAGAACAAGTAGATGTTGAATCTTTGAAACGGCGGAACCAACCTAATGACCTACTACTAGTGCATTTCAAGAATATTCTAAGCTCAGCCACCGCACAGCATGCACCACCCCTTGCACTCCGTGCCAAAAACTGCATTCTTCTTTCTCCAGGTTCTAAACAATTATGTTTTTTTAAATACACAACTACCCTCGAAACACAGAGATTAAGGACATATCAGATATCTCCTTCCATGTAGTCAACAGCAAGAAGGTATGCATCCAATAATATGTGATCATCAATAATCCCCTCTTGAGGCATGTGGAGAGGTGACATGGCCCATATAGAGCACCCATCTGCATGTCATCCCTCTAAACTGGATAATTGAATAACTACCCACTTCTCTTCTCACAGAGAATTAGAGACTTTCAGGTAGGATAATGTATTATAAAACAGGAGGGCAGTTGTTGTTCCACTTTCGGATAGGATATAGGCTCAATGATCACAATAACTTGCCTCCATACAACGACAAATTTCTCTTAACATTATTGACTGCCTGACAAGATTAATTTCCTTTGGTCCTATCCCGACCCAACAGATCACAATAACAGTTTCTTATTCTATTCTCAGGCTTGAGCTGAATTACATTTGTACAAGATGATGTGGTAGGAAATCAAACACATGTTCTATAGGCTATGTCCCAATACTATCCTACTCAAGTACTCATTACATGCCACGTCTGGCAAAGCAATCCCCACAAGGGAATTTAGACTTCCAATCACTTGGGTTTCTAATATAAATGGGACAAGGCACCCATAATTTAACAATGAATAGACAAGACTTAGATGATGATGATGATGGTTAAATCACTTTCGTTTCTGATCCCCTCAACTTACAACCTTACAAATAGCAGGAAAGAGATTGTTATGTGGCTAATTCTGATCATCTACCTGCTTGAAGACCTCTCACTCTGCAATGCCAACGTGTTATAACTTTCATATCCACATCAACCTCATTGCACACCCCCCCCCCCCTCCGAATCCTCTATTAATTAATTTAAATTTGAAATTTCCGCCAAGAATTTCAACAGCTCAACCATCAATCCAATTTTGTGGAGTCCTTTATTGGGCCCCCAAATGATGTTGCCACATCCAATTACTGAGCTGTTACGACTTACCTCTTACGACTCTCTCTCTCTCTCTCTCTCTCTCTCTCTCTCTCTTGTGGAGATGACTAGACGACTCGTCTTGGCAAGCCGTGCCCCCTAATAACATCAACAATAGGCAGGAGAATGATGTATCTTGACGTTCTAGAGACTTAGTGTCACGGGGTAGTTTTACAGTAGAAGAAACCCGTGTGGCGTCTAAGCCAAGGGAGGCCAGGACAAGCCTTATATGTGCTTAGGGCTAGAAGTTGCCCAATGAGATGGTTCCACCAAGATCAGTAGCACTGGATCATGACCTCAAGGCTCATGGTCGGGGCACTCTACTAGCTCTTGCCAGTCCATGGGAGGCGCCACTTATGTGCCAAAGGGGGATAGCCATGATGAGAGGCGACTTGGCGCCGATGTGAAGGGACTCCTGTATGCCGATGATGTAGGCACCCGATGTGCCGCTGATGATAGGCAACCACAAGTCGGAACACACCCATGCACTAGGGGCAACGAGATAGCTCAATCAGCTTGGGCAAGGGGCTAACAAGGTGTAGGGACATGCTTAAGCCAGACCCGCATGTCAAGCCTCCCTTTAGTGGGCGGAGGCGCAGTGCCGATCCATGCACTATCCCCATGAGTATGTGTGCACTCATGAGAAACCCTAGTAGCCATGCTCTCCATTAACCAAAGCCACCCCGCAAGGGATGTTGGTTTAAGAGTGTCAAAGTCAGGCACCCAAGGAGGTCGACCATCCCTCAAAGAATACGTTAAGCTTTTGGTGGTCTACCTAATAGTATGCATTCTAGGGTTGTTCATAAGAAGACCCAACCCGACTAAACCGACCAACCCGAGTCGGCCGGTTTTTCTTCAACACTGGTCGGTTTCGGGTTATAAAAAATCATAAACCGATGATACCAAACCAACTTAGTAGTTAGTTCCTAGTTAGTAGTTACAACCTACTTAGTTCCTACTTAACTAAGTTGTCTCTATCCTAGTTACAACCTACTTAACTAAGTTGTCTCTCAAACTCTACTCCCTCCACAACTGGATCCATGGATGGGCCACAAAACATTAAGGAAATGTTGGTTTTCTTTGGGAATGTAGAGCCAGAAATGAACACTTGAACAGCAATTAAGTCACCACTAAGTAGAGCCGAAACCGACTCAAACCAATCAGGTCGGTTTTGCTTAACACAAGGTCGATTTCGGTTTCAATTTCAAGTAACCCAACTAGGTCGGGTCGGTTGGAAAAACATCAATAAACCGACCCAACCCGACCCATGAACAGCCCTAATGCATTCTCCCAAAAATCATACAGGCAAAATTTACAATAATATCCCTTAACGTAAGCCCGCTAAGCATAGGCAAGACTAAGCCTATATCAGACCGTCACATTAGGGTGTCAAATCAATCATGAGTCATGGCCATTGGATCCCCTTAGCTGTATTTTGTTTCAGTCATCATTGATAGGCTATGCCCGCAGATACAGTTAATTGCACCATGTGCCTGTACGTTTGGATTGGAATATTGTCTTCAACTGTAAACACATGGGGACCATGGAATATTAGCTGCAGAACTCGGTCTATTCCGTGACAGCTATTTTTGTTTTTACTAGTCCCATTTCAGAAAACAATAGGGACCGGGCCCGACCAATCCCCCTGTCTAAAACCCCAGTCCATTTCTAGCCAATTCAAGCATTGTTGACAGCAGAAGCAATGCTAAGAACAGGATGGGACCAGATACCCGCGGTCCAACTTGGCCCATATGGCACAGGGAACAAATTTAGAAAAAAAAAAAAAGAAAGAAAGGAAAACGAAACGCAAAATGGTAAATGGTTCCACTCAAGTACCTGTACCATGATAATGCCTGACCTGTGCTTTGACATGGACGCTTCGTCCATTTAGAAGAGTCCATGCAACACCGACCAATGACGCAGCCAATCTTAGCCATAAATTCCTTCACATGCCTTTCAGTTTAATATTAACAGCCAAGAGAGCAGTTCACATCTCAGCGCCATAGTTCGTCTAAATTGGGGCCACTCTCGTACTCAAATCGCAGATTCACAAGCACAACCAAGAACAGAAGTTTCAAACGCCCTACAAATTTTAATAAGCTAGACTGCCCTTTTGAACCAGCAAACCCATGATCTGGTCAGTGCTTTTCTAATGGCCGTTGCTGCTTCAAAACTCCAAACAGGTGCCATCCCTCCGGCAGCCCTCATGTTCTTCTAGGTCAATGTTTATTCTTGTATAAAATAGATAGCCCCGTCCAATCCCTTGTTCTAGGCCATTTCTTCATCCGTAGTTCAATCGACATATCCATACACTTACACACACAGACAAGGCTGAGCATAAAAGACAATTGAGTCAAAATTTTAACTTGAATTTAAGTTGCTCAATGTCTCAATGTGCCAAGACTGGACGACCAATGGAGCCAATATGACCAACTCCTCCAGTGGTCAAGACCAAGATTATCATCTCATGGTTGTGATAATGGGATGCACCCAGTCTTGGGTGGGATTTTTTCTTTTTTTTTTATCATTTCTAAGTATACATGCAAGGCTAACCTTATAAGACGATAAGTAGCAACCTAGTTCCATTTCTGCCTCTTTTGTTGATTACTAATCAAGACGAATATGTGCCATCTGCACGGTATAAGTTTATTACAAAACTTGATTTTGACTAAAAGAGATGTTTGATTGAATCCTGTGTGGGTCAGTTCAGATGCCAAATCTTGAAGAAACAAAGAACACACACTATTGAGGACATAAACAGATCTAGTTCTGATTTTACATCTAATTTCTTACTGAGGCAATCAGTTGAGCCATAACAATGGCATACTGAACTGCTGTGTGTTGTGAAGTATAGTGGTCTGAGAGGCCATACTCTGCAAAGTTTGGCTCAATATGCATAAAATGACCTGGCAGCGACCTTTTTGATACAGTTTCCTGCCATATATCAACAAAGTCTTCCATGATTTGTCTGGATTTATCTAGTGATGAAATAGGAAGATACTCCACCTGCAAATAGAAAATGCACAGTTCAAGCATCTCTCATACTGATTCAGAATTAGAATGCATATACTTACATAATTTTCAAATAGTTAGAAGCCATAAATACAGGTCGACCAGTCCTGTAAAACTAACGGGTGATATGGCAATTTTGATAAGCAAGGAAAAAGGAATTTAATCATTTCACAATATAGGTTGCCTGGAACATGTATAAAGAAAGACCTTTTGCAGTTTTAAGATTGGGGTTGATAAGTAGGAATATTAGATGGCTAGGAGAACTTTCTTTTTGTTTATTTTATTTTACTTTAGTGGTAGAGAAACAGATGAAACAAAGGCGTCAATTACATGTGAAGGTGATGAGGAATCAAAATTAGGGTGTAGGCTTGAGAAAATTTAGGGTTCTAGGTTTGAGAAGAATTGAAGGGTCAAGGAATTAAAAATAAGTGGTTAGGAATAAGATTGAGACCACAGAGATAAAACAAAAATAGAACAATCATCAAAGACACAGAATAAACAATTAAGAAAGATCGTTATTGATTAAAAAATTAAACAATCAAGAATGAAGAATCTAAGGAACCAGAAATGAAAAACCATAGACAAAATAACAATATGGTCTTAGAAGACGAGGAAAGACAGTGTGGCTTACGCCTCAAGTCAAGGTGGGAACAAATTGTCTTGCCTCAATCACCACATTACATGAGGCCTATGGCTTATATTGCAAGAGACACCTCACTGCCTTAAGCATACATTAGAAAGTATTGCGACACCTTAATGGAGTTGTTTCCAGTAGGTAGTCATATGGAATGAGCACCATACGCGATGATTTCTTAAAGAAAACAGAAATAAATACTTTATAGAATAAACAAATACTGCATTGTATCTCCCTCCCCAACCCCCCTACACACACCCACACACAAAAACCCAATTATAGACTATGGGGGTGTACAACCAGGCCAATCACAATAGGGTTCATTTTTTTCAACCTGTCAAGAAACCAGAACTATACTTATTATACAAGTCATATAAGCTTCAAAATAAGACATATCCCTCCTAGGCAGATAAACATTCTATAATTAAAAATAAATTGTTTGCTTTGGACAGCCTTGGGGAAAATACCCACAAGAGAACATCTGGTAACTAGAGGAATGCACTTGAAAACTTTCTGCTGCCTATATGGCAACCCGAGTAAATCTTCTAGACATTTGCTTTTGTACTGCCCATCCTCTTAAAGAATCTGGTCCCATTTCTTGCAGCTCTTCAGAAGACGATGGGTGTTACCTGGTGATTTGCATAGCCTGCTCTCCTCTTGACTGACTCAAGGCTTCAGTGCCAGAGGCAAAATTCTTTGGAAGTTGGCGCCTCTAGCTTTATACTGGAACCTTTGGAAGGAATGTAACAGCAGGGTGTTTGACAACAGTGATCACCCTATGGAAGCCATAATGGGCATGATAGAAAAGACTATTGTTGGGTGAGCAAGCTGCTATAAGAGTTTACAGCATGTCAAGCAACAGCATTTTTATAATCACTGGGAGGGCATCATTTTTTATGATAAACTTGAAGTTTAAAAAGGGGACAGATTGTATCTTCTATCTTTTTTCATATACAGATCATACATAGTTGTGCATGCTTTGATGAGGGAAACTATCCTTCTAAATTAATACACAAAAACTATACTTTAATTACCAAAAAAAAAAAAAGAATTGGGCAAGTCTAGGTAATGAAGGATTTCAAAAATGTCATCAATTGATTTTAATATGAGCTGATATTTATACGATTCTAGCAGGTCTCAATCTCTTTACCAATAGAGCTCAAGTTGTTTAGAAGCTATAGTTTCTAATGGTTGTATGATGGTGTCCATGTTAGTGTGCTAAAAATCAACCAAATCCTGCTTTGGCTGTCCAGTTAATGCCATTTTGTCTGGCCCTGTCCCACCTATGATAAGAGCCTTCTGTTGGGAGGTTTACCATGACAAAATTAACAATTGTGAGAACTAGTGTTTTAGAGGCGCTCCTGAGGCGGGCTTATGCGCCTTGCCAAGGCCCAAGTGCAGCCCCTTTGAAAAGGTGTGCACCTGGTGCACCTTGTGCCTCAATTCAGAGGTTCACTTGCTCACTGAAGTTCTGTTAGCCCCCTATTTGCTAATGTTGTTCATACATTCATCCTAATAAAAAAAAAAGTTATTTTTAAAAGATAAATTCATAATCCCTATGAAAAATGATTTATAATTTTAACATGGACTTATTTGGGCTGGTGTGATGTTTAACATCACATTAGCTATTTGAAATAATGGAATTGGAAAGAAATAAAGAAATTAAAAGTTTGACATGCTTGAATATGTTTTGTTTTGTATATTATTTTTTTTATTTGTGCATTTTCACTTTGAATATGTTTAATATGTTATGTTTATGTATTTAAATTTGAGCTAATAGGCTTTTTAAAACATTCAGTTTGAAATTGATTTTTAAATTTTTTTAATTAATACTATGTTTTAATGTTTTATTAATTTATTTTGAATTTTTTACAATTTGCAATTTTTTGGAATTTTTAAAATTTTGTGTGTTGCTTCAAAAAGGCGTGTGCCTCACCTTATGCCTTGCGCCTCAGGCACAAAATGGCCTTTGCACTTTTTTTGCACCTCGCACTTTTAAAACACTAGTGAGAACTTACAGCGAAGGAGACCTTCTTGGTGCATTTCTCCCTACTGTTGCCTTCTATGCAAATCAAATGGTGAAATTTCTTTTCACTTGCTAATCTCTTGCAATTTTGCATCTGCTATTTGGGGTTTTTCTTTGATCTTTTTTGATGCAAGTGGGTACCTCCAGCCAATCTTTACTTTTCCTCCAAAAAAAAAAAGGCAAAATTCTTTGGAGGTGCAAAAATATGGCAGTGTTGTGCATTTGGGAAGGAAAGAAATCTAAGGCTGTTCAAGGAAAAAGAAAGAAACGCAAGGGAGACCACTGAAAATATCTTGACAAAAGTGACACATTTGGTCAAAACAAGGGAGGAGTTTTAACCATGATATATTAAGATACCGGAGGTCCCTAGCAGATTCATCATCAAGGAGAATTAAAGTAAATAAACACTGGTAAAACCCGGTAGCTGGTCTCTTCAAATTGAATTTCGATGGGGGCAGCCTGGGTAACTTGGGTCAAATGGGAATTGGGGATGTTTTCAGGTTAGAAGGGGCATACACTAGCATTTTTTTCTTTTTGATAATAAATAAAAATAAAATTTATTAAGAAAGAGAGGAGTACAAGAGAGGTGATAAGATACCACCCACAAACAACCAAAAATAAAAAAATCCCAGCAACCCTCCCTCTCCCATGCAATCTATCCAAATTCCAAACAAGAAAAACAATCCCACACCAAATACATATAAAACCTCCTAAGAAAAAACCACATGCTTAAGATAAACCCTCCATCAAATCCTTTTTATCCTACACATCCACCAAAAGCTCAACAATATCTCCCAACATCAATGCCCAAATAATTAGCTTTTCCTGAATCTTGAACGCAATGCTCTCTACTTCTATTGGTCAGTTTCTATGTTTTCTTCACTTAATGATGCTCAATTAATCAGATTTTCCAAAATCTTGAATGCAATCCTCTCTACTTCTCTTGGTGAGTTTCTTCACTTTCTTCACTTCCTTAATGGGCCTGCTCCCAAAAAATCCCTATTCAATCTGGCAAAAACCTTCAACACTTGGAAATAGGGGTGGATTCGAGTCAAGCTGAGCCGAATATCTGGCTATTCGAGCTCATCTCGCTCATAAACTATCAGACCCGAGCTCGACTTGAATTATATTAGAGACTTGAGCTCGAGCTTGGCTCGAGTCAAAAGCTTAGAAGTTCGAGCTCGGCTCAGCTCGAGCTTGGCTGCCTCTGATTGCAAGTCTCCCTTAGCTACTGAAGTGCCGAACCAATGTCTCCCTAGAAGGCCTCCCTCAGTCGTCGGGGTGCCAAGCCGAGGTCTCCTTCAACTATCGGGGCGCCGAGCCAAGGTCTTCCTCAGTTGTCGAGGTGTTGAGCCAAGATCTCCCTCAATAGCTGAGGTGACACCCTATGTACATATATACTCGATTAGGCTCACGAGCCTTACGAGCCGAGCTTTATTAAGCTCGAGCTTAGCTCGGTTAGCAAACAAGCCTATATATTAGGCTTGAGTTCAGCTCAAAGCTCAGTTTAGACCGAGTCGAGCTCGAACAGCTCGTGAGCAGCTCGGCTCGTGGCCACCCTACTTGAAAAATCCATTGATTTCATTGAGATATGAACCTTCTAATTGCATTAGGACTCTTCTCAATATCCTTCAAGTCAAAAGGATTTAGCATTAATCCTTTCTAGTTCCCCACATCATTTTCAAAGATGTGATCTGCTACCAACTCACCATTCCTTTCATGCCCATCCCCTTCAACTCTAACTACTCTCAATCTATCATGGTTCTAATTATTCCTTTCATTACTGCAAACCGCTTCATGAGGCAACCTATTTCTTTATCCGTCAAAGGCATTAGGGGTGGACATGAATCAAGCTTTTCACAAGCTATTCAAGCTTGGCTCGTGAAAAGCTCGATTCGGCTCGGTCTAAACTAAGCTTCGAGCCAAGCTCAAGCCCAACGAAGCTTAGCTCATGAAGCTCACGAGCCTAATTGAGTTTATATTATATATCATTTTTAATTTTTATATGTATAACTATAATGTTTTATATGAAGCTTGGCTCATTGTCAAATTCAAACACAAGCCTTTGAGTTGATCCGAATTTGAGCTCAGGTCTCTAGCTCGAGCAAAAGCCCGAGCGTCATTCTTTTCCACCAAGCCAAGCTCAAGTAAATAAATATTCGGATCGGCTTGGCTTGAATCCTCCCCTAAAATGCATCATAGACCTATCAGATTTTTCTTCCATTTCCTTAAAAGGTTTCCTTGTGACTTACTCTCCTCCTATAAAGAACAAGCCCAAAGATTTGCTAACCTCCACTTCAATATTTACTATTGTTTCTTCACCCTCTGTTAGTG